TGTGTTGTTCAGAAAACTGTAGTACTACTTGAAAAGGGGCAATTACATTTCGTGTTCATACTCTTTGATGTGGATTTAATGACACGTTTCATATTATTTCTAAACTTCGAGGCAAGGGAGATGGGAACGCAGAGCCCTTGAGTCGCTACGCACCCTCCTGCCGTTCGTCGAGGCGTTATTGATGCATTTCAGGCACGTGAAGCTCATCACTTATTAAATATTGCCAGTGTATACGTGAGCTTTTCCACGCGTTCCGGCGGATACCCTCCGAAATGGCCGCGTTGGTGCGTGCATTCCGGACCTCCCTGCGAAGTGTTGTACAACGGCAGTCACAGGGGAGCTCTAGTTCCCCTTGCAATTCGCTCCCTTCTGCATCGACAAAAGGGTCTGAGCTACCTGGAGGAGTGGAGAGTGCTGCTGAGGGAAATGTTGAACGTTTGACTGGCCACGCCGCCGCGATCGCACGAGAGAACCCAGTGGCTCTGGCGCAGCTGACTGCATATCTACACGTAATCGACAGTGTCGATTCGCTGTACCAGAAGTACGGAGTGTCCGAGCAGAAGGATAGAGACGATTCGATTAAAAGGGCAGCTAAGCTCGTCGGTCTTCGTCTGCCCAATGCCCCGACTGGCAGGCCAGAGGGAGCAGGCTCAGGTAAGAGATTGTAGACCCTCCACATATCTCTACACGAGCTGGCTGGATACTGTATCCCAGTTGTATGCAAATATGATTGAACTCTGAGGGCAACCGCTGCCTGTCGGTCGTCTATTGTGCTCAGGTGGCTCGTGAGACAGCAGCATGTTTCCGCGTTAATACTCAAAAACCGACAGACAGCACTCAAACAGGATGGGTTGCCTGTAAGACTATAAGGTGACAGACATGCGTTTGGAAGAAACGTTTGCTGAGGGGGTATGGGTGGCTATGCTGCCATATCCCACGACGAGAGCTACTGCGAAGCCGAACCGCCCACGCTGCGCTCTGGCAAAAGGGGCGGCAACGGCGGGTCTGACAGCGTAGCATGATGCGCAGACGAACTTCATAAGCATTCTAAGGCAGAAGTTCGAGGCAGCAGTTCGCCATGAGTTCATTGGCTTACTGGAAAGCTATGACCGGCTTTCCACTGCCGTGCTGCAGCTTGCCTGCATGTATGTGCATGAACAAGAGCAGCTGAAGAGACGTATGCGTTTACAACGTAACTCCTTCTGAATCTGAAGTATCTTCGGAGTTTTTTTCTTGGTGGAGGAACCTTATGCGTATCCCTCTCGCGCAGAGAAGGACCCTTTGATTTGAACCTCTTGGGACATCTTGTCTCTCCCTTTAAAACCCATGCAGACAAAATACATTTCTCGTGACTCTTGGCGACAAGCCCTAAAAACGAACACAAGATGCAACGCTGATTCAGTCGCTGAGTAGCGGTTAGTGCTGTTGCTTTCCTCAGAATTCAGTGGAGTTTTGAATGACACCCAGGTTTAAAAAATTACATCGCCCTATGTTATTATTTATAAAGCCATACAGCATAATATGATGTATTCTACGCTGTATACATCATGCAATGCATACTTTATCGTTTATTTCGTGCATGAGCACAGAGAAGGCCTCACCGCGGTTTAGCGGACGATACGCGAGTGAATCTACTCTTGAGGTATGTTTTGTAGTTCCCAGTTTCACTCCCCATGAAAATCTTGACAACAAAAGTCCCCCCGAGGCACAGAACCTGCACAATTCAGGCCAAGATGCCGGTTCACGTTGCAGTGTGAACGCGTATGTGTAAACCCCACAATAGATGTCTGAGTCTGTTCTGATGGTGTAGCAGCTGATACCTGCTCCATTAGGTCGGCGGCGTAGAGGCAAAGCTCCACAGAATTGAAGTGGTCGTCGTGTCTAATGCCAGTGCATGCTGGCGCCATATCACTCAACACAACATCTGCTTTTCGGTCTCCCAGCGCCTGCAGCACTGCATGCAGAGTCTTCGCGTCTCCGACCCTCCCTTGAATGAACTGCACATTCGGGAGCTGCATACAACAGACAATCATGATGGAGCGGGGCTTGACGAAGATGATGGCTGACGATAAGCGGGTCTTGTGTTTGCTTCCGTATTATTGTACTTAATTGCACTCTATCTAAATAAGTAGCCCTTTACTAGTATTAGGCATGTATCTACTTACTCAGCACCCGTGCCTAGCTGCTCTAGTACCTGGAGGACTTACAGGGTCCATTTGGGCAACATCAACCCCAATGACGCGGGAAGTAGAGGGAGTTGAAGCCCCACCGTTTGGCTGATCAGGGGATTCGTATCCTGCAACTAGACAGCGCTTTGCAGCTACTTGACACCACCCTCCAGGGTAACATCCCAAGTCAAGAACAACGCGGTCTTTCCTCAGAAAAAGATATTCGTCGTCAAGCTGCTTCAGCTTAAACGCTGAACGGCTTCGATAATCACACTGCAACACACAGAAGCAAACACAAATACCACTAACAGTGGTCTCCTTTACATCTGGCTGCGTAGCTGAGAGCTGCGTCGCCGCATCCACCTGCTAAGGGTAGTCGGCCGGTGACCGCAGCCAAACTGGGGTTATACGCAATGCGCTGTGGGACTACACCAGTCAATGGACTTGCACACGCTCATATCATAGGTGGCTGTGGCGTGTAGGCCAAGCCTAGAAGCTG